TTTTTTTTTCAACAACGTTATAAGCACGATAAACAGTATATTTGCCCTGAGAGACTAGCAATCATATGGAAACAGTAAATAGAATGTTGCCAAAGAACACAAACTATATTTAATGAAGTGAAAAAGATTAGCAAATATGTTTTTGGTTGGTCAAAATGATCAAGTAACGCTGCCCTTCTATTGTCCAAGCAAATTAAAATCATAAAATTCCCTAGTCACTTCCTTCTTGTCTCTCACAGAATAGCTCAGAAGGACAGCAAAAGCGGCAAAAAAAAGTAGCTGAAATAAAGCAAAACAAAAAAAAGCAGGCTTGTTTCCTAGTTTGGTTTGTGCACGATCAAATAAAATTTGCCAACAATGCTTTTTAGGCATCAGCAGAATCGGCAGCAGCAGCAACAACAACAACAAAGCCAACGACTGCTCGTAAGCAGCAACAGGTACAACAAACGAATCGTCATCATCACCATCATCATCATCACCAATACCGACATCAACACCATTACCATTAGCTCCTTCAACCACACATACAAACAATTTTAAACTGTTTTTATGTAAATATACATACGTAGACAGATGCACATGTATAGGCCATCTTTACCCTACAACAACACCAACAGCAGAGACATCTCTCATCGCTTCTATAGCCTTCATAAAAAAAGATTCAATTACAGATACATTCTGACAGCTGTAAAAAGCTGCTGAACAACCAAAAAAAAACCTTTTTTTCCTCTCTTAAAAGACAAAACTTGGTTCCACAGAATTAAACGAATAAATGATTTGAGTGCAACAGTTTTTTTTATTAGCAAATAAAGAGACATAAAAAACTTAAATAGGTTACAAACTAAAAAAAAATTTCGTTTTTATCTATCCTAATCCGAACTGCAAAAGAAAATTTTGATAAAAACAGAATCAATGAAAATTAAAAGAAAAAGAGAATTATCAGCAAGTGTGTTTAGTCTAAACTAAGCTGTATTAACCGGGGAAAAAAAAATGTCTTAACACTTGCGTCTTTTTTTCTTCCTCGTTTTTTTTTTCTTGTTTAGACTTAACTGGACAAACATTCTATACTATGCTGCCGTCTTTCTCATCAATCCTCACGCTAAACTTCTTCCCCTAGTCTTCGATTTGTCATCTCCCTTCCTTTAGGCCATCACTTTTATTGTTTCACACAAATCCATTACCATCATAGAGTGTTCATTGAAAGACTTCAAATTTTGGCTAAACGCTGGAAGCATACTTCGCTTGGCAAGCTGAGTCGTAAATTTTCTTTCTGCTTCTTCTTCCCTTCGTCATTCTTTGAACACTCTTCTTCCTCTGCACTTTTTCTTCAGTCTTAGCTTCTTTCTGTACCCATATTTTTTTTGGTCTGCTTAGTTCATCTTCTGGCTTTTACAAACAGAAAAGAGACCTACGCTCTTAAAAATACGTAAGTAGTACACGTGATTAAATGTTGAAAAGAAAACTTTTTCTTGCAAGCAACTTTAGTGCTAGTGGTTGGTAAACCTCAGTGAAATATGTTCGCTCAAAAATTAGACAGAAAAAAAAGTGCTTTTTTGGCGCTTTTTATTAGAAAGCATTTATTAACGATGATTAAGTGGACACATTTTGTTGCAGCGTAGTGGCGGATGAAAGCAGAGTTGGTTGAAAGGTTCAAGTAAATCCTATTAGAATTTGTGTGCTTGGGTTCAAAACCAGTCAAACGGTATATATAAT